GGACCTGCTGGTCATGTTTCTTTTGATGCAGCCCAGGATATGGTTGTTCTCTGGGCTGCAAGCACACACTGAAGCTGGCTCATGTTCATTTTCTCATCAACCAGCACCCCCAAGTCCTTCTCAGCAGAGTTGCTCTGAATCACCTGTTGGATTGCCATGACCCACATGTAAGACCTTGCATTTTGCATGCAGTTGGTATTGGCCCGCCTCTCAAATGTGTCAAGGTTCCTCTGGATGGCATTCCTTCCTTCCAGCGTATCAACCGAACCACACAGCTTGGTGTCATCGGTAAACTTGCCGAGGGCGCACTCAATACTGCTGTCCGTCTCACTGGCAAAGATGTTGAATGGGATCAATCCCAAAAGCGATCCCTGAGGGACACCACTTCTTACAGGTCTCCAGCTGGACATTGAGGCACTGACCACAGCTTTTTGCATGCAGCCATCCAGCCAGTTCTTTATCCACCGTGTGGTCCACCTGTCAAATTGATGTTTCTCCAATTTAGAGACAAGGATGTTATGCAGGACAGAGTAGAATGCTTTGCAAAAGTCCAGGTAGATGACATCAACTGCTTTGCCCCTACCCATCAGCTCCGTAGCCCCACCATAAAAGGGCACAAAATTGGTTAGACAGGATTTGCCCTTAGTGAAGCCATGCTGGCTGTCACCAAGCACCTTGTTGTTTTTCATGTGCCTTAGCATGCCTTCCAGGAGAATCTGCTCCATGATTTTGCCAGGCACAAAGGCGAAACTGACTGGTCCGTAGTTCTTCCTACCGACTGGTCCTCCATTTTCCCCTTCTTGCAAATGGGGGTAGTATTTCCCTTTTTCCAGTCATTGGGAAATTCATCTGGCTGCCATGATTTTTCAAATATGATGGACAGTGGCTTAGCAACTTCATTTGTCAGCTCCTTCAGGACCCACAGATGGATTTCATCAGGCCCCATGGACTTGTGTACATTTAGGTTCTTAAGATGATCTCAAACCTGATCCTCTCCTACACTGGGCCTAAGGTTTTCATTCTCACAGTCTGTGCATCTGCCTTCCAAGGCTTGAGCGGCATGGTCAGAGCACTTGCGGGTAAAAACTGAGGCAAGGAAGTCACTGAGAACCTTAGCCTTCTCCAAATCCAGGGTAGCCAGTTCTCCCATTTCCTTCCTGAGAGGGGCCACGTTATCCCTATTCTGTCTTCTGTTAGCGACATCTATAGAAGCCTTTTCTGTTATCTCTGATATCCCTTGTGAAAATTAGTTTTAGATCATCATTAGCTTTAGATTTTTCAGCATAATTTAAAATATAAAACAGACCTTTGGTATAAGTAACCCAGACTATTCACTATAAATCTTCCTATGATAGGGTTTTGTATTGCTTCTAGTCATGTATTTTATTTTTTTTATGCAACACTTACTTCAACTCATTTAAGTATTAATATAATCTTCTGATTACATCTGAAAAGTAAGCCACAGGTATACAGTAGTTTGTTGGGGTTTTGTTTTTTGTTGTGTGGGATTTTAATTTGTTTTAAAAAGCAAATAGGACAATAAGAGACAAGGAATAGAACTTGGTGAATTTAACTATCCTGAGCTACCTTCTTGTTTCCAGTCACTGAATGCACCAGCTGAAACAGAGCTCTTTTACGTATCAATGAACTTACTTCCTAACATTATGCTCACGGTATTATGGCTCAGGGTAGCTGAACTGGTGTATAGAGGGGTAGGGAAAAAGAGAAAAATAGACAAATAGTTCAATTAAGGCTGAAATTATACCCCAGGAAAATGAGATACAGAAACAGACTGCTGCCAAGGTTTGCTCCAGCTGGACAGACCTTGCAGAAGCTTTTTTAAGCCCATTTATCCATTTCTGAATTATATGACCATGCAAGCTGTTAAAAAAAATTTGTCACACACATATGTAAGTACATGCAACTGCATGGATATAGTACAGATGATGTATTTTTCTCTGTATATTAAAATCAGCAGTTCCATCTCTATCAGAGCCGTACAAATAAGTTGATTCTAACATACTGCAGACATTGTGTCTGCTCTCCAGACTGAGAATTGTTACTGCTGTGCTGCAAGATAGTTGATGGAATTTGGAGTTGCCATAGCGTTGAATGTTTCTCTTGTGATCAGCAGCTGCTGATTTAAATGAAAATCTTCAGCCATTTTCTCTCCTGTATATTTCATAGTCATCTCAAATTCATCACAGACAAATGATACCAGGTAAAAAATGGACTGAGTCTAAATGAGCTTTCTACTACTTGATTTCAAGGTCATAGCACACAAGTAACATGCTTTCAGTTACTGTAAGGGAGAGAACGTGTTGAAGACTTTTAGCTAAGTTATATTTAGTAACCATGTATACACACTCAGTTCACAGTACTTGCATACCTGAATGCCTGAGCTGAGTTTTATATCTGTACAATGTTCAGGACAAAAACTTCAACTTCCATCTTTTATGTGTGGGACAATTTACCTTAGCAATTGTGACAAATGAGTGTAAGACTCAGCTAGGTGAAGGCAAGCCAGAATCAATAGGACTCTAAGGTGCTTGACACTTGTAGAAGATTTTGATAATTTAATTCTAAAATTTATCAGTATTAATAATTCTAATTTAATGCATTTTCCTTGTCACTTATGAGTCAATTGCTAATTAAATGTTGTTGAAAAATATGAATTACCATTTTACATGCTTTAAAAGAATGTCGCTAATATGTCTAAGTCTGGATGTGTAATGTAGAACAATGTGGTTCTAATCCTCCTAAATACTGTTGTTATCCAAAACAATTTTATACTGAATTAATTTCCTTGTCAAAAAAGGAGAAGTACTGGGAAACTTAATGATCAACATTTAACCCTCTAAGATGTATTGGTATGAAATTTATATTCAAATCACATGGAATTAGTTTGCAGAATGAATCATTTCCCTTTGGTGGAGCAGCAATGACTTCGAGAAATAGCTCGTCGCTATTCATTCATCACAAATTCATTATTTCTTTTCTCCCCTTTGCATTGTAGATATTCATGTTTAAAGCCTGTATAAATGCACGATTTACAGCTATGCTCAGCAGTACTAGCTACCATCTCTTTTTGACTGACAATGATGAGATTTCTGTCATGCTTTGCCTCTCCTACGGTGCCAGTGATGGGATTTTTTTCCTGGAAATCTTATTACTGAATGTGCTGTTGTGGTCTCAGATGGAACTTTCAATCAAAAAGGCAATCAGAAGGTTATCCTTTTGTGAGTTTTCCTACAAAAGAGCTTTGCAAAACTTTACAGTATATACCATAACTCATAGTCAGAGGTGCTTGCCCTAAACACTTTGTGCCTATAGACAATAATGTGATCCATATCTCACAGTGCCTTTCTTTCTTTGCTCCCAGGATTGGGACGTAGGGTAGAAATTGGGCTAGTCTAAGTTTTGAATCAGACTTTTCCATTTACACTACTATTAGATTTGGCACAGCGATTCAGAACACCGCAGCACTTTGTGCAAGTGATGAGTAAGAATCTGTTTGGTTGTTATCACAATCTGTTACATAAACATGTTTGATTTCATTGAAATCTTCATGACTGCTTCTTTTCTATCTTTAGATGACTTCACTGTGTCATTTATAGTATTACCAAAATTGCTAGATAAAGTTATCCAGAGGCTTTTTTTTTTTAAGTGCAATGTAACTTAAATGAATTGGATACTTCATTGATTTCAATAAAATCTTTATAATACAAATAGAAATGCTGTTAGCATATTAGTTGTCCACAAACTACAGACATTAAAACCAGCCATGCCACAGCTAAAGCAGAGTAAATGTTTCCATTTTGAAATACAGGCAAAATTGGGAATAATGCATTAAGACATTTTTGCTTGCAGAACAAATATTACTGAGGAGCTTAAGGAGAAGGGATTGTTTTTCCTAGCAATACTGTAACAAAAAAAGTGTGAGGTTATTTTTCAGCTTGGCACAGTGAATTAGACACACATAAATCCTGTGGTCACAGGCTGCTGCATATCTAATTCTGCAAACACTGTCAAAAATTGTTTCAAATATTATCCTTTTTTATTTTGACTGCATTAAATCAATAAATAAATGATGTTGAAGGAACTGTGTTCCTCAAAAAAACTATGAGGTTATTCACGCAGATTCCTTTCTGCAGTGTCCAGGTAAAACTGGAAGAAAAGCAATAACGAGAAAAGTATTTATAAAAATATATTTCACAAAGTAGGAAACAATACAGGAGTTTCTCTGGATACAATACATGGAGTAAATAAACAAACAATAATATAGCTTCAAAACAAAGTAGAAAATTAAAACGATTTGCATGTAATATGTAGTTTTATTATACAATTGCTACTTCTAAATGGCAAGTTTGCATTACAAATTGAGGATGCTTGCAGCTTCTAGTGTTCTTTCTCTGTGTGTAAGAGCCCTGGTGCATCACTATGAATATTATAGAAAAGAAACGCTAATAACATAACCAGTAAAATTATGTACACACTGGTTCCTGCTCTAATACAGTGGAGAACGATAAGCATGTTTTTTACTGTACTGTGTTATGTGTGGATTTCTAAAAGTCTATAGTTTAAATATTCACATGAACCAGTTTACTTCCAGCTGTTTGTGCTTGTATTAAAAACACCAGGAACTAGATTTACGATGAAGATATAAAACTGTCAAAAGTTTTCTGTGGGAAAGTTTTATTTCTGCTAGCATTCTCTTAAAAGTCAGCTACTGCAAATGGATAGGTAACTGCTTTATCTGGCAACCATTTGTCATTTTTCTTTTCAAAATGTACATGTATTAAACATTCATTATATATAGAAAAAGATCTAACAGATATAATTTAGTTTTCTTCATAATCTTACTCTATAGATTACCAGGCTTAATAAATAAAAGCAGCAATGGACATCAATAAAATATTTATTTCAAAGATTAAACAAATAAATTCAATCTTTTGCAATAAAATCAGCAATTCTTTCATATAAGTACATCCCCTTTAACAGTTTGTTTTTTTTTTTTTTTTTTTACTTTCAGAAGACGAAACACAGAACTGAACCTTCTTCTATAAAAAGATCCTTTTTTACAGCAAGGTTTTGTAGCCCTGCCTTTCAATCTCTGCACATTAGTAGGATTTATTACCCATCACTGGAATGGATTAAGAACATGTGAATATTTTAAGGCTTGACACAATATTTAAAGATGATATTTAGTCTGTGGTTACATGGCCAATGATACTGTATGTACAATGTATGGTCACTGCACAGTAGAAGCCAGTAGGAATTTACAATGCTGTTTCTATTCAGCATTGCTATGAAAACCAAGATATTGCTTGTAACATTTCTGTGGTGGGATCTTTGTTGGCAATGCAGAAACAAACCATTAGCTTTCCACATACTGGCAGGAGCTACTGTTCAACAGCAAAATCCCTGCAAGTCAATTTTCTAAGAAAGCACCAACTGCTTTTTGTTCAATTCACTGAAGATAATCAAAGATCAAAATCCCCATATTTAGAGTGGTCAAGTGAATATCAAATATCCAAAGACTTATAGACACTCCACATACTTTACTTCACACTCCACAAGACTTAACCTCCTAACATATACTTTTTTTTGGTTCAACATTACAATGTAGTTGATTTTATAGATGATTGGCGCTAAACTTGCCTCTAAAACAAAAAGCCACATTAGTTTTAACTAACAGCAGTGGCTCTAGAATATTACATGATCATTAAGTCAACAGTGAAGAAGTTTGCTATCCCCTGTCAAGTTTCTTTGTCACTTTCTCCAACTGAGTAAAGTTCTCCAAGTCTTTTAAAGCGAGGACCCCATTCACTGAGGTAGTCAAAATTCTGATCTGAGTCTGATGTAGAGGACTCCAATGAGCTAAGGGAACCAGCCGCTGACCCTCTTCCTTCATAGCCATAAATCTGGATAGAGTCATATGGTGGAGCTGTGGGATCATTATCAGCTTCATGAAGCCTTACATTAATAAATTCATCCACATCAACACCATTAGGAACAGGTGCAAGACCCTGCCTGGGCATAAACTGAAGGTCAGGCTTAATATCCTTACGAGGCAAAAATCCATTAATTCCATCCGGATTTTGCAAAGTCGCAATGTCAAAAGCCTCTGTATCTTCTTCTCCACCTCCTTCATCATCATAGCGAATAATATTTTCCCTCACATCTTCATCATCTTTAATGATTAGAGGCTCATTCTTATGTCTTCTTAGTGTTACAAACAGCACTACAATGACTGCAAAAAGAGCATCACAGTCTGGTTAGGGAAAAAAACCAATCAAAGCACTACATGTTAAGCACAGTTATGGAAGGTGATAGGTTGCTTTTTGTGAAAGTAAGAGTCATAAAGGTATTAAAAAACTGAAAAACTTATAACCTCACCCCTATTTGAGTGATGAAAATTTTATCAGAACCTCTGGTTAGTTCTCTAGTTTTATCTTACAAGCTTATATCTGAAAGCTCAATTTTATGTAAGAGGTAAGATTTCACATATTTCCATTTTTGAGCCTCGAATTTAGACAACATTTCCCTTTGGAAAAGTTACAAACCTAGGAGAAGTAAAGCTATCATCGTTCACTGAACATAGTCTATAATGATCTACTTTATGGATGGAGTTTTCCAAAGTCAGAGGGTGTTTTTCTGAAAACAGGGACCTGATGACAGCAGTAAATCAGTGTCTTTTTTTCACACGTTGCAACAGACTCACATTATTTAATTGAAAAGAGAATAAGACAGTAAGGGAGAAAGAACGAGCTTAAATACATCAGTTTCAGAATCATGGACAGATGCATAAAAATCTCTGAACTGGTTACACTGTTGTTTTTGAAGGTTTATGCTGAAATCTCACTTACTGATGTAAATCTAAACTACAAAGTGAAGCTGCAAAGCGCAGATACAGGTCTCTTCCTTCACTGTTCTCTCCCCCACTTGATGTTGTATACAAATTTTATATGTTTTATTAAAATATACAGTGTTTCTTATATTGTAAAACTATAATGTCGCTTATACCACTGCAATCCAGAATAAACTCATGAACCTCTTAGAATATACGAGAAATCTGTTTTCCATCAGGTATCCAATTGGATTTTCAGATTAATATTCCATACTTGTTTATTGTGTAACTTCTGTGTAATACTACTTGAGATTGGTACTTTGCTTTATAGGCTTTTGTTCCATTCTTAGCACAGTAGAGATGCAGTCCTGACATTAGACTGTATGTCCTTCTATATGCCGTCTTTGCTTACTTCCAGCCACCCAGGAATCAGAAACATTTGGAACACCACTCTGTGAAATGGATACATACCTAGCAGCAGAATGATGCATGCTAATATTGCAATTAGGGCTCCCATACTTAATCCTATGGGAAGTACATATGCTTCAACATTACAGGACTGGACAATACCATCACTGCTGCAACCACAGACTCGAATGGTGAGAGTACTAGTGCTGCTCATGGGAGGATTCCCACTATCACTTATTATGATTGGCAGTAGATATACTTCTTGCTTCTGCCGGCTGAATCCACTATGCTTTGCCATTATGCTGAGAGTATTATCTGTAAAATGGAAAATTTGCATCGTTTCAAAACATAGAATAATTGATAAACCCATGGCTTTTTCTTGATTAATTCAGAAAACATATACACAAACACAAATGCACTTTGTTATACTCATTATACCAGCAGCATGTGACATACAAATCCTTCCCCTTTCTGTCTGGTTGCCCATGCCCCAGATGAATGAGTGCACCGTATGTGTTTTCTTGTGTCCTGTGGTAACCCCTCACTTTCTTCGCTGTATGCATCCTTATAGATGTCCTCCCATCATGATACATCACTGTTTCAAATCACAAAGTCATAAAAACTCAACCAGTACAACAAAGACAGAAATTAAATGTTAACATAACCCAAATTTAATAAAGCATATTGATAATTTTAAACAAATGTTCCATCAATTATAAATGCAAACTGCACAATATTTTGTCCTGCTATATACTTTTTAATAATAAGCAATATAAAGACAAACAAATGAAAAGCTGAATGAGTTAGAAGTTGTAGGCCTAATTTTTGGTGATCAGCATTTATTGGGCCTCAGTGAGGAAAATACAACAAACTAAACCAGACCAAATGTGCGTTCTCTGAAGGCAGTGAGTGAAAATGAGTACAGGACATCCTTACCTCTGCACACGCATGCAGGTACTGAATTCTACAAACATATGGAGGTGTCTGACTATATGGCCTTCTACCCAGACATAAAGTTATACAGTTGAACCTCTCAGACTCAATCAGATTGCAGTGCACCATCATAATGATTACAAGTTGATTTTCCTTAGAGTAATCATATAGATTCTATTGTGTACAATTGAAAGAATTACAGAATCCAGACATTTAACAACATACTACTGTCAACTGTTAATGATCCTGTGTGTGCCACAATGCTCAGGTATAAATCATGATTAGTGAGCATGTCAAGTACGCAAACATTTTAATTTATTTACATACTTAAATATTCACTTTAACCTTTACCTGCTTTATTCTGTGGAATAAAAAAAAGATCAATTCAGTTTTATGATTTATATGCTAAGGGAGTGCATATTGACTTGTACTAGTTTGTTTTTTGTGTTCTTTCATGAAAAATAGCAGCACAAATTAATGCAAAGATTCTGACGCATGCAGAATAGGAACCCTTGTGTGTGTTACTGAGGGATCCAATGACAGTTTAAAAATCAAGCTGCACATCATATTTGAGAAAAGGAGATTGTTGTTCTTTTCATGAATATCTCTTCTCCTGTGCTACCGAAGTTAATTCTCTTAAGGTATCACGAACAAGAGTAAGCCTCTTGGTATTTTATGCAATAAAATGGGCACATGGAATCACTAAATGCCATTCCATGGAGGAAATTACTGAGAATTATGTGGCAGGCATAAGGGAGAGAAGACTTGGAAGGCAGGCAGAGTTCATATGACAGATGCAACAAAGACCCTATTCTGGGAGCTTAAACTCAAAAAAGCCTGAAGAGCCTGATAACATGTGTATGTGGACACACAGAGTGACTCGAAGAAAGCTTTGTATCTACTTTGATCTTGGTACTGGTCACTCGCTTGAAAACATGAAACAGTTTAGAAACATTTAATTGTATTAACTGTGATCACCAAGAACATCTCTGACAGCATTTATCACTGCCCCAACATAAAAGACACATGTATGCTCAAAATAGCTGGCATTCTATAAAGTACAAAAGCCAGGGAAAGATGTAGGGCAGGAAGAAGGGGAAAACATTTATGAAGCAAATACTGTAAAGGTGTTTTTCACACCCCAAAATAAATCAAATTTAAATGCAGTATTTTATAAGTCTTTCTTAGTAAAAAGGCAAATTAGTAAGTAATAAAGGTAGTTCTCTGAATACAACGATTAGAGAATGAAGCATTACTGAACTTTATCATGTCCTGAGTCTATGTCATGACATCAATCAGTAGATAACTCCTACAATTAATTCATTACTGCCATAAAACAGAAGGTGAAGAAAGACTATTTAGTGTTTAAGGACAGTTGTAACTACAAGGGTAATAGTCTCACACAAGAGAAAGCAAGCAAGCTTGTTTTCCCATTCAGTGACTAAGAAACTGGACTTCAGGTAGGCTCTTGCTGAAGTTCAGGGTCTTTGATTGTGCAGTCCATGGTGGAATCCCCTAGCTATCCTTCTTACACAGCCTAGAGAGGTTCTTACTATAATTTATATTGCGGATTATGTAATCATTTCAGCATATTTTTCATAGCATTTAGAGTATGTAACACATGAAGATCAACCTAAAATTAACTACTTTATAAAGCAGTATAAATATGGTCACTTTGTAATAGCTTTGCAGAACAAAAAGGATTCCTAATGATTTTTCTTCCAGGAGTTTTTATCTATTCAAGTTGGAAACAGTCACATCAAAACTGATGGCACCTTGGAGTTAAATAAATAGTCTAGTCCTTCCCTGTGCCCTTTTTAAAATTAAAGGAAGCAGATGTGTTTACTGAAGATAAAGTTCAGGTATAAGTTCTTAAGAATTCTGACAACTCAAATAAGACCAAACTCCCTGACAACACCCAGTATCATATGTGCTACTGTGATACAGTGGAAAAAGTCAAGTATGCTTTAAGTTAACAACAAGCACATATTTAGAATTAAGCAAAAACTGCACTCCTTGGCTGAAAGCGTCAGAGATTTAAGCACACGTGTGCAAGTTAAACCACTTCCAGTGTCACACTTCCTTTCTAGCTGAGCTGCAAGGAACAAAAGGAAAGGTTATGTTAGTAAAATTATATTGTAGCTAAGTTTTCCTGAATACTGGTGTAAGCTTTGGTAAATTAAGAGTGACCACCACACCTACTGGAATGTCCAAATGTACATTTTTTTTATCCGATAGCATTTTTTCCTCCTCTGCACCTCCGTCCCCCCTCATTTTCAAATAAAGAAAAATAAATTTATCTTTTTGTTATCATTTGACTTTCTCCTGCAAACTTAAAAATATCTCAGCATAAGTTGCATCTTTAATCCTTTTGCTTCAACCTTTCAAAGGAGAAAAAAACCTATGTGGGGCTCAATTTCCATCTCTTTCTTTCTGAGACAAATACTACTCAGAAGTGTCACATCTGTAGTCATTTATTCAGAACTCCAGAGACTTTTACAACTATATTACACAGTGACTTGTGCTTTAGAAATTTGAATTGATACAGCCTGTTCCTTCCTGTAAGCTTGGTACAGTCCTTCTCTGTCCCCGCTGGAGGAAAGGACTGATACGCCGAGCCCCAGCATCCGTGCCCTTTGCAGATATGAAAGAGATAAAGCAACTGCTTTCGGAAGAAAAAAAAAAAAAAAAAAAAAAAAAAAGAAGCTGCTCTTGTTGGGTACAGCTTCAGATCCTCCCACCTTTCTGACATGCTCACTGCTGCTCTGCCTAGTTCAGAAAATTCTAGTAAGCCAGAATCAGAGAGTAAAACAAGGTAGAAAAGGAAGAGTCTTATAAAGAGACAATAGAAGAGGGCAGAAAAAACAAAAGGAAGGAGGAGAGATGGAGGAAATAAGGTGCTCATTTTTGCCAATCAGTGAAGCTATGCTGAGTATAAGAAAGTACCTGGTACCAGTAACAGTTACTAATTCAAGTTCAAAAGAAATGAGATAAAGATACATAAGATATTTGGGACATTTACCTGAACTATTTATTTAAGTGTAAACAAAGTTGTAATGGCAGAACAGTCATTACTATGTAAGAGAGATACAAGACAAGGAGAGAAGAGAGTAACCTTTTCTTTTTTTTTACAGATTTTTTACAGATATTTACTTCTTTTTTCTCCTAAAAACTGCTGTGTTAGACTGAAGTTGAATTTGTTGTGCCCAGAAAGAAACTGTCAATCAGAAGCAGTCATTAGCAAAAGCAAAATGAAATGACCAAATTGTTTTGCCAATGGATGGCAAGTATCCAATTTTGCCTTGGGAACTCTGTTCAGCAACAAAGTCCTTCCCTTTCTTTGCTATATCCTAAAATATATACCTTGGTGGAGATGTGACTCGTGAGTGAAGAGCAATGACTCTCTCATTGATGTTTTAGTTGTTTCCTAGGACGTGAAAATAAATCCTAGCAGCTGATTAGCAATAAACTCAAGTTACCTGATTTTCTTTCTCCTCTCTGTGGACTTTCCCCTTCCCCATAGCTGACAAAACAGCAGGAATCTTCTCCAGGAACAACCTACAGCACTGCTGCATGAATTAACTTGGCAGCAGGTGCTCAGCAGGAGAGGGGACAATCACTTTTCACTCATCTTTCCAATTAACCCACTGATCCTTCATTATAGCGCTGTTCAGGTTATTTATTTTTTCATGTTTCTTTTGGCAAAACAAGGAAAAATACATGCAGAAAAAAAGAACACCTCTCTGCTCATAAAACTATGAGGAAACCTGCCACAGGCAAGTTTATATATATATATATATATATATATATATATATATATATATAGAGAGAGAGAGAGAGAGAGAAAGTCAGCGAGGTATATTCTATTCAGGAGGTCCTTTGACATTCTTGGTCAAAATAAGCCTACCTGAATTCTGGACCCTTCTATGTGGGGAAGGGATTGAAGAAGTCCACTGAAATGCCATAGTCCTATTAAATGCCATTTAACTAATGATTAATTAAATGCCATTTATCTACTGATGGTAGTCCAGTACTAACTGGAGCAGCTATATTGTGTCCTGCGGGCTTAAGGAATAGTGTCAGATAAGTGATCTTAATAACTGTTTAGATCACTGGGTGACTCTAAGTTTCTGATGTTTACAAGCAGATCTGCAAAACAACCATGAAAGAAACTGTAAGAATATCTCCTTTGCTTCTGGAACAAAGTAGGACAATGCAGAAGGGCTTTACAAGATATCCAATGTGATTTCGAAACAGAAGTAGTTTGAATAACCACAACCAAGGACATGCTTACCACAGGGCCAGATGCTTCCTGCAGATTGCTAACAGTTCTCAAGACCCCCTAATCTCTTTTGAGGTTCTTGGATGGAAGATTGGGGGGG